TGACCTACGACCGTTCCTCGCCAGACGTGAAATAAAGTACGTTACAAAAACCGTTTAACAACACTGAAAATACGGAAAATAATTATCATCCTCAATAATCAATGAACGTAAACGAAAGTAAGTACCTACTACTAAGTGCTTAATGTTTGTACTGGATGACAGTCAGAGATTATATTTAATTAGTTAGAAAGAGCTAATTAAACAATCGTGCCAGTGTATTCCTAAGAGGTTTAGTATAAGGCATTCGTAATTCTATTCCCTATGCTAACCACAATAATCAGAAACAAGGGAGTTGTTGCTAAATCCTTACCAGTATTTCTAAACGGTTCCCGCTTGCCATTTCATGACATGTTATCATATTCCTAAAACAACTCGGTAAGGGACCATGTAAAAGAAAACATTTGCTGATATTGTACTGAACACGACAATCGATAATATATAGAAGAAACGATTTTTCACTTTCATGGCAGTATCACAAAGCCCATTTACATCTGAAAATACAGTTCTTCCTTCCTTACTGTGTACATAAAGCGTATTGAGTATTGAGTGAATGCTCCTTGAGCACAAAAAGTAAGGAAATTATTAATTTACAGTTATTTCCTGAACTTCCTGATTCACTAAAAGGTTTATTACCCCACATTTTCGCGTAAGGGCGTTCTGTAATGGATCTATCAAACTTTATCAAAAGATGATTACCTAATTTGAATATGAAAAAAAAACGTTAAACAAAATAATACGTGCAATAAACGCCCGAAAAATATTATTTAACTTGAACATTTTAATTTCTATAAATTAAATTTATTCGTTAATTTCCAATTCGATAAATGATTGTTGCCAACTAGTCCAATTAACTAAGCCTTTAAATCGAAATTTTGTCAACTTGGGTGAATTTTTGATATGAGTTAGTTTAAGGTATATTATAACAATAAGTGAGAGTAATTTTTTGTTCAACCCCCGGCCAAGGGTGGAAAAAGATAAAACAAAGGGCTTTTTCAAGATAACTCAAAAAGGGTAAGAGCTAGAAAAAAAAGTTTTTCATGAAAGTTGTAAAGCAGACAATTCTACATAAAAATGGCCTCTTAACTTTTTCTTGTACTATTACAATTAACAGAGTTAGGGAGGCTAGAAGTTAAGGGAAGATTTCAGAAATTTAAAAAAAATCATAACAAACAGAAAAATGATTGAATTTTGTAATTTTTTTTTTCAATCTGCTCTAAAATATGTAACTTTTCTTTTCAGAGAAATAGATATATTTTTTAATTTTTAATAAGAAAGTTATAACAAAAAATCAAATTTTTAATCGTTAATTTTAATGATTTAACAAAATTAAATTTCTGAAATCTTCCCTTAACTTCTAGCCTCCCTAACTCTGTTAATTTTAATAGTACAAGAAAAAGCTAAGAGACCATTTTTATGTAGAATTGTCTGCTTTACAACTTTCATGAAAAACTTTTTTTTCTAGCTCTTACCCTTTTTGAGTTATCTTGAAAAAGCCCTTTGTTTTATCTTTTTCCACCCTTGGCCGGGGGTTGAACAAAAAATTACTCTCACTTATTGTTATAATATACCTTAAACTATCTCATATCAAAAATTCAGCCAAGTTGGCAAAATTTCGATTTAAAGGCTTAGTTAATTGGACTAAACACTATACCTAACCTATGTATACGTTTAGTTGTGAACTTTACAATTAAGTGCATTAATTGAGTCTTTTCATAAATTATTTTAACTACGATGTGCACTTTATGAATATGAACTTAAACAGAGAATTGTACATCCACTGTTAGACCATGACCCATCTGCTTTGAGGTGGATGTGAGTACAACTCACACAATAAAAGTGCAGATCCCTAGATCTGGGCGAGGTCCGGAACATTTTCAAAATTGCAAAAATGACTATTTTAATGAAATTTGGTGTGTTGTTAAATTTAATTATGTTACGTGAAAAAGGATATTACATATCATTTAAAATAACAAACATGGGAAATGTGGCACAAAAACGGGACGCTTTGTACAACAGAAACATTTATAACTGTTCGCGAATGAAAAAAACACGCTCGATCTTCTTCATAAGCCAATTATAAGATCAAGTCAAACATAGCTCTATGGGATGGGTGATAGATTATCTGTGTCTCCATTTGTAAAGCAAGTCATTCGGCAGGCGTTAATTAGTGAATCGGATTGCACTCTGTTCGTTCAATTTTCGATATGAATACGAGGTGATATATCAGGGTTTACTCTAACTCGCATTGTTCAATATAACATCGACACTAGATTGCATAATCATCCTTAAGATGCCGGGTGAGTTAGTACAACAGAGACGTTTTATAATCAGCGTGTATCATTTTAGAAGCCGTGATTTTGCATAATACAATATTGCCAGTGGAATGCAAATCATTCAAATCTTTTATCTATCTTTCTAGACAGTAATACCATCGCACAATATCGAAACAATAACCGCAGAACAATATTAAAAAATATTTCTAGTTAGAATATATCGGTATGCGTAGCGATGAAAATTCTCCGTTTGTGCTCTCCTTGAATATGGTAAATGAAATATAGCATTCTGAATGCACGCTTTGTATTAAATGATATATAAAATCTGTCACAGGAATGGAATTCGCAAAATTAAACACAATGCTCTTTTCAGTTCCGTCAATACATTTTTTTTTCTGGTCCAGATGAAAAGGTTTTGTGGACTAAATTCCGATATTGACGCGGAAGCCTAGTAATTCAGTTTTTACTGCCAACAAGAAACACGAAACTTAGGCATTATGCCTCTGTAAAATATTGACACATAAAATTTAATAACCATTGTTAAATCTACTGCCATTATTCGCTTTATACGACTCTACTATAACCTCATTACTAAGTTTTAATAGGGTAACGAGTTCGCAAAAATCCACTAACATTGTCACAAAATAGAGGGAATTTGTTTCGCGAAACTATGAAAATTTCTTAAAACGGTTTAGGTATCACGCAACTTTTTTTTCTAAACGTTTATATTGGCACAACCCAATATACTATATTTGAAGGTTCCACAAATTAGACATTTTATGTCACAATTTTTTTGCATTGCAAACTGCCAAACGAAAGTACAGTTTTCTTAATAACTTGATGTTATTTTCATACACAGGTATCTGCACCAAAAATATATTCAATGAATAGGCTTTGTATTTCAATTTTAGTATTAATGAATGAAGTCCCAAAAACGGCTTTATTTGATGTATTTATGAATAAAACATGAAACGATTTACAGTCAATACTGTATCGGTAAAATACCAGCATTTTTATAACAAAAAATGAATTCACATTTCCTGAGATTTATTTATTTTGTAATTAAAACCACCTCTTTTTAAAAGTGCCCCATTAAAATGGAATGGAATGTAAACTTTTTAGTGAAGGAAGTTTGTGAATTATATATTAGCGTACGCAAAGTACGTGTTTCCTTCAGTCTCTAATATAATTAAATTAGTGCAGTGTTTTACTCCTGCTTCATAAAATTAAATAGTTCATCGGTTGTCTCGAACAATATGGCTTTACAGTCGTATCTATTCCGTTATTAAACGCAGATCCAGGCATTTTTAAAGAATTAAATTACAAAATATTTGTAAAGAAAAACGCACCCTTCACTAAGGTATCCAGTTGAAGCTGTAAAAATATAAATTAATTATAATAATAATAATACCATTTATTACCCGACAGATTTCTCCAATTACAGGACAAAATTAGAAAATGTGTGACTACGAACATACGCAGAAACAGCAAACAATAACAAGGCTGGCAGGAATGTGATTATAAAAAAATAATTATAACCAGACACAACGATTATTTGCATTCAGAAAAGTGAGTAGTTGCATTATGCCCAATTTTATCTAAACCATCAAAATAAATGTCACGAGTGCTGAGGTTCTGTTAAAATTGTTCAACATTGCAAATAAAGGAGACTTGATTAAAACGTTTGAATTTACATTATACTGATGAAAGGTAGGATGTTTACGACACCAAAACATAATAAACAATATTAGCTGAGAGTGGCATGCAATCAATTTGATTGTGTACCAGGAAATACAAAAATTTGATACTGTAAACAACACTCCTTGACTGTTAACGAATTGATATTAAATTCTTATTAATATATGGTAAATGTAAAAACTTAAGAGTTAAAATAATTGGTTGCAAGGTAATTAATTGCATTACGTACTAAGTGACATCTTTAGTCTCCACTACGAAGCACACCCCGGGAGACTGTTCATATTTATTCCGCAATTGTTTCATTAAATACTAACCCAGATGTAAAACTCGTATAAACGGCCGTTTCACGCACATGAGAGCGTTGGGTTCCCTTCCATAAGGGTTTGCGACATTTTTAATATAAGCCCTTTTGTGCATATTGAATCAGAGTACGAGGAAATAATTATTAAACTTAAATTCAAAAGATTTTTCGAGTACTTCTGCACAATTACAATTGAAGTGTACAACTATTTGTTTAAAAACGGCTAGTCGTTTCCTACATAAATGAAAAAAAGTGGAAAGACCTTTTAGAGTCTTCGTAAAATACCAAATGGCTCTCGGTAGTATTGAAAAGGGGTTCTTTAATTTCGTTCATTTTAGACGTTCGTCATTTCGTGAAAAGACAGGTTATTGGAGACAGACACAAATATAAAGTGTGTAATCGTGCAAAAGCTCACATGAGTTTCCTAAATATATTTCCTGGAAAATACTTCTGTCAAAAAAAAGTTGATGTAATTTTACTGTATGTTCCTTGTAATTTTGCGTTTTCGAGTAATTTCAGTAAAATCGTATAGGCATATCATTTTACTTCCATAGACGGATTGCCATGCAGTAGGTGCACTTGTTAAATTACAAAAGAAAAATAATTGCGGCGCAATATTCGCCTGCCAAGATAAACCTTTGGGTGGGTCGAAACGAAATGTTAAAAAGTCTTGGTTTACTTATCATTTAAAGTTTGTCTGACGACCTCTTTGGCAATGGGGCCGCGGCATGGCATATGTAATTTGTACTGCTTATCTGACAAGTGCTCTTATTTTCAGCGTGGGCGAGGATGGAGATTGGGATGAAACAGATATTCGAACACCTAACAACGAAACGACATATCAAGTAGGAGGTTTGCAGCCGTACACCGTGTACAGTTTTAGAGTAATGGCAATGAATGCGATGGGGCTCAGCGAACCAAGTAAACCTTCTTATTACATGGTTACCCTTCGTGAAGGTAAGCCCTAGAGGAAATTAGCGACGGCTGCATTTAACGACCAACAAAAATACACTTAGGTGTTAATTTATACAGAAAATTTGCTTCACAAAGTTGGTTTATTCTGGTTTAAGGGAATTAAGCAACACACAAAGTTAAGGTATTATTTTAAAACGTATTTACATTTCAGCTTCGCATAAATCACTTCAGCTTGCATAAAAATGATATTTTTATGTATTAATTTTAATAACAGATCCGATTGTTGCGTTACGTCACTCAACTTCCTCAACCGTCAAGTAAATGTACTATTAATGTAAAGAAACTATTAAATGATTATATTTTTATTATTCCCTTTGCCGCGGTGTTTTAATGAAAATGAAGGAAAGTTTAAGAGTAAATCAAACTGAGGTGAATGGAAAATTTAATAGTTTGAAGCGAGGGGCGATCCGCTGATGTAATCTTCGTACGTTTGCCCTGGAATCTTTATGTAATCTACGTAATCTTATCTGTAATCTATGTAATCTGTCTGTAATCTACGTAATCTTATCTGTAATCCTCGCTGTAATCTATGTAATCAGCTAATGAATTTCGTGGATGTAGTCGGTATACAACGCCCCCCCCCCTTCCTCATTTTCCAAAGAATGCCACAGAAACCTCGACAGAAACCTATATGGTGCGATTGGTGTGTTCCGAAGGGCAATCCGCCAAGGAAAAAACAGACGAAGATTACAAAATTTCTGAAATCTCTTGTAATGTATCTGCAGATTTCAATATCAATTCAAAAAATATTACAAATTTCATATAAATAATCAAGATTACAACACATTTCAGGAGATTTCAGAGTTATTTTAGTAGATTTCAATGATTACTTAAGATTTCAATAGGATTATTAGAAATTAAAAGAATATTTCAAAATTTCTTAATAAGGTTTCAAGGAATACGGGAAGATTACAATAAGTTTTGAATGTCCATTTGAACAAAAATAATTGAATTAACTTCAAATGTCATTAATTTCATTCATTAACAGTAGTACTTTGATTAAGAATTTCCAGTATCAGGCATTTTTTGGGCAAAAATTGTAACATTCTGATTAAGTTTTTTGTTCGAATGAACGTTAAAAACATTTTGTCATGACAAAAATGATAATGCTATTTTGAAAGTAGGTAAGTATTTTCCCAAAAACTAATAAATAAAAAATATATTAAGCTTTTATTAATACTTGCATTTAATACTTTACTTGTATACAGTGTGTTTAAAAAAGACGCGGCAATATTTAAGGGAGTGATTGCTCAGGTCAGTTTATAAAAAAAGTCCTATAAACATAGGTCCGCAAACGCTTCGTTACCGATCTACAGAATGTGAAATTTCATTAAAAAACAGTAAAAATTAAATTTCTCTAAAACGCAGCCCCTTATTATTACCTACTACAAACAACAGTATGTACCACATTTCAAAAATCAATCAAATTTGATAATTTGAATTTCTTTGTTCAATAATTTAAATTTCTCAATTAAAACAACATTGGGTTTAGGTGCGCAATAAAATGTTTTTTATTTTTTTACTCAATAACGGTGTGACGTACGGTGCGTATAATCTGAGGAAAGCTTTCTTCTTCATAATTGAACAAGGAATTAAAAAATTATATTTTTAGAAAAACCAGCGGCGTCCTATTTTTTTCATTAAAAATAGCTAGTCACTGGTAAGACTAAAAAATCGTTTTGTATTGCAAAGTACGCGTCTGCCATAGCTATTGACAGGCCTAAAATTTCATTATAATATCAAGAGGTTTTGGAGAAATTTAATTTTTACTGTTTTTTTAATGAAATTTCAACATTCTGTAGATCGGTAACGAAGCGTTTGCGGACGTATGTTTATAGGAACTTTTTTTTTAAAAAATGATCTGGGCAATCGCTCCCTTAAATATTGCCGCGTCTTTTTTAAATACACTGTATACAGGTAAAGTATTAAATACAAGTGTTAATAAAAGCTTAAAATATTTCTTATTATTTATTTTTTGGGAAAATGTTTATTTTATGTTACTTCTATTTTTTTTTTTTTATTAGTTTATTGGATTATTATATTTTTATCTTTCAATAAAAATATATACTTACCTACTTTCAAAATGGCGTTATCATTTTTGTCATGACAAAAAGTTTTTAACGTTCATTCGAACAAAAACTTAATCAGAATGTTACAATTTTTGCGTAAAAATGATACTGGAAATTCTTAATCAAAGCACTACTGTTAATGAATGAAATGAATGACAGTTGAAGTTAATTCAATTATTTTTGTTCAAATGGACATTCAAAACTTATTGTAATCTTCCCGTATTCCTTGAAATATTATTAAGAAATTTTGAAATCTTCTTTTAATTTCGAATAATCCTATTGAAATCTTAAATAATCATTGAAATCTACTAAAATAACTCTGAAATCTCCTGAAATGTTTTGTAATCGGTTGAAAGATATTGTAATCTTGATTATTTATATGAAATTTGTAATTTTTTTTAATCGATATTGAAATCTGCAGATACATTACAAGAGATTTCAGAAATTTTGTAATCTTCGTACGTTTTTTCCTTAGCGGATCGCCCCTCGGTTTGAAGTATCAGGGAGGAGAAAGGCGAACTTGAAACTCCTTTAAATAGTTACAGACGTAACTCACAATCAGTTTTCCTTCTTAGGTTTATTTACCAACAATAGCAATAACTTTTATAAGAATCATTCAAAATTATGAGTGGGAAATGGTTTAAGCGAGATTTTTTAGATTTTTATGTATGTGTTTCGCCCTCCGTTGAACCGGATGGAAATAACATTTTTTCGTAAATTCGAGGCTTTGATAAAAAAGGTTCTCGCTCAATGTTGCGGTTACTATTTCTGTATATGACCCTTTAATCGGGGCCATCAAGAAAAATACGGGCAGATACAGTTTCATCGCCCTTAACCCTTTTACCGCCTGTCAGGATATTTCACACAGCATACCTCTTCGTTCATGTTAAATTTCAGCCAGTGAGATCGACGAAACAAGAGTTTAACAAACAAAAGTGATGTTGGAATTCAGTTCAAAATAATTTTTATCGAAATATCTCAACACGAAAGGTAATACGACTACTTAAATATCACAGAATTTTACCACCTTCCGTTTCGCAGGGAATTGGGGCGGTTTAAAGTCGCATTAGACGTAAATGCCACCACTTTAACCGCGAATTCCATTTCTTTGGATAGCTCCAAATTCATTTATAGTTGAATAAACGAAACTGGAATTTATATAATACTATAACACTGCTATACATACACAGCAGTATCCAAAAAGTTTGCACCATATGGGAAAATACTTTATGTATAAATTTAACAAATTTCTTGGATTATCAGTCGTCTCTGTATCAAAATATCGCCCTTCAAACTTCATAAAATGGCTGTTATATACGAGGGGCAGACGAAAACTGCAAATCTGCTCGAGAGTAAAGTACCCCTATTTTCAATCGTAGGGAATATATTTTAAAGAAATAGACCAAGCAAATTAAATTTTTACTCGAAATAAGTCTTATTCGCTAGATTATTGTAAAATTGTCTAAAGGAACATAATACAAGACATCTCTCGTCTCGTGAGTCAAAAACTTTTATTAGCTAACTTTTCTATTTAAACAAATAAGTGAGGAAAACAGTTTTTTCACTTTGCAGGGAAAACCATCAATTTTAGCGAAAAGTGACTCTCAGACAGCTTATAGGGAGTAAAATTATCTACAAAATGAGATTAGTTAAATTAAAATCGGTTAATAAACAAAAAAGTTATTGCAAAAAAACAAGAAAAGTGCCCATTTNATATATATATATATATATATATATATATATATATATATATATATATATATATATATATATATATATATATATATATATATATATATATATATATATATATATATATATATATATATATATATATATATATATATATATATATATATATATATATATATATATATATATATATATATATATATATATATATATATATATATATATATATATATATATATATATATATATATATATATATATATATATATATATATATATATATATATATATATATATATATATATATATATATATATATATATATATATATATATATATATATATATATATATATATATATATATATATATATATATATATATATATATATATATATATATATATATATATATATATATATATATATATATATATATATATATATATATATATATATATATATATATATATATATATATATATATATATATATATATATATATATATATATATATATATATATATATATATATATATATATATATATATATATATATATATATATATATATATATATATATATATATATATATATATATATATATATATATATATATATATATATATATATATATATATATATATATATATATATATATATATATATATATATATATATATATATATATATATATATATATATATATATATATATATATATATATATATATATATATATATATATATATATATATATATATATATATATATATATATATATATATATATATATATATATATATATATATATATATATATATATATATATATATATATATATATATATATATATATATATATATATATATATATATATATATATATATATATATATATATATATATATATATATATATATATATATATATATATATATATATATATATATATATATATATATATATATATATATATATATATATATATATATATATATATATATATATATATATATATATATATATATATATATATATATATATATATATATATATATATATATATATATATATATATATATATATATATATATATATATATATATATATATATATATATATATATATATATATATATATATATATATATATATATATATATATATATATATATATATATATATATATATATATATATATATATATATATATATATATATAT